ATGCCAAACTATTTGATTGAGGCCCCCAATAATAAAAAGATTTTGCCATTTTGTTTAGTGGGTTCCTCTATGTTCCACACCCACACACCTCTCTTCTTGCATGACATGATTGGAAGAAAGAACACCACACACACACACACAAATCAATGGAGAGGAGTGATTTTCTGATTGACATTTTGCCAATTTGCTTGGGGATAATAATATGCCAAATTTCATTAAATACAGAACATATTGCCAACTCAAAATGATGGGATCCCACAAAGCCAGCTAAAGAGATAAACCCTACCAATAATGCAATAATTCCACTCATCTAGACAGTCCCTTTGTATGGTAGGGTACCCTCAAATTTAGGGTTTTTGCAAGGTTAAAGATCATCCATTAGTTTTTAAATATAACAAGGACAATTATGTCATTTTCACTAGCAATACAAGGTACCCTACAATTTAGGGCCTTTAGGACCCAAGTTTACGACAATTCAATTAGGTCATCGAACTTCAATTTAAACAAATCAATTCAGTTCAATTTAATTGCAATTAAATTTTTAGATTTGTGCTTCGCCAACCTATATTATGGAACATGCTTAATTGGCCATTAAAATCAATTTCTAAATGACCCGATTGCAATTGAATTGAAGTTAAAGGACCTGATTTCAATAAAATTGAAGTTCAATGATCCAACTGCAATTGAGGTAAAAGTTGGGTGACTTCTAGTACAAGTAACCCATTTTGAGAGGTTAAAGATCATTCTTTAGTTTTTACACGTAAAAAGGACAACACAAACTTTGGCTGCTAATGCCAATTAGTAGGTACCTAAACATTGGTGGCCGGTCTTAAGTCTCGACACATTGTCGGCCCATTTGGTATTTTGTAGCCGAGGAAGAGTCATATATAGAGTACTGGTCATCTATTATTAAGAATACGTCCTTAATGTTTTAGAATGTTTTAAATCGAGTTTTAATTTTTCTTTTAATCAGTCAATGATTGTTCGATACGTTATTGAACGAACTCTAAAACGACTTAACTTGTTCAAATAGAACCAATGATCTCAAACAAATTTTCTTACGTAATTTTGTAACGAACTTTGAATGACTTATATTACTTTTGAACCATGTGGTCATTGATTCAGTCAAATAAGAATGTGTGATCCAAACAACATGAAACCAATGCAAGATTATAACAGATTTTGGACCAATTCAATGCTATTAAATTGATCACGTGGATGTCACGATTAGGTCGACTTCAAAATAGTTGTGAAAGTGTGGGAAAATATCCTAATCTAAGGAATCAGAATGGTCAATATAGATAATGACCATTGCGGAATTTTGAACATAGTTTGTTACCTTTTTATGTGAAAAGTATCTGTCATTGAGACTACATTATCTAGTATGGGATTTTCCTAAAGACCTACTTCTCTTGGACAAGAAAATAAATAAATAACAAGTATGGTTTTTCGAAAAGATAGTAGAAATTGAAATACGTGTGGGACATGATCGTTCGATAGAACAAATTGTGCCCATTAACGAAATGAAAAGGTTCATGCGATTTTTTATTTGTAAATCTCATCGATGTTCTTGAACACGTTCGAAACGAGTAACAGAGAATATGACTTTTAATGTGTACTATTATTTTCTTAGCTATAGTTCATTTTCCAATATTTTCAAATTGTATATTTTTTATATACATGATTTTACCCCTTGAAAATAAACTCGCATATAGCCACCGTTTGGTTTAATTAAAAATTATATTTTTACTAGATTTTAATAAAAGTTGAAGAACTGTGTGGCTGAAAAATTTATAAAAAAATATGAATACCATAAAATATGTAGTTGAAAATGAGTTTGAAAAAAAAAAATTAATATGAAGGCCAAACAGGGGCTTAGAGTGTGTTAGGGATACATTCTTTTGAAAGAATGTATTATTGAATAGTAGATTGATGAAGAATGTGTGGTTAAAAATGAAAGAAAAGTTATTGATGTGATGGAAAATATTATTTTATTGAAAAATGTGTGGTTGAAAATGAGTAGAAGAATGAGAATGAAAAAAATAATGTGTACCAAACAGGGGCTTAATATTAAGGAATGTGCACAAATAGCAATGGATGTCAACAGGCAAAAAGTCTGGGCCTGATAGAACGGCCCATAACTGATCCAATAGTAAACTCATCACATTTAGCCATTTTTCGATATCCATTTTTCCCAAAATATATTTCTCTTTTTTCTTTACAACCACACAATGTTCATTAAAATAATATTACAGATAAATCTAAAATTCTTCCTTATTTTTAACAACATATCCTATATCAATCTACTATTTCAAAATGAATTCTTATTATGAAAATGGGAAACAAATATGATCTTAAAATATGGGTCAAAACGGGCTCGGCAATTAAGCCCGTTTAGAGAGTTGTTGCCTTTAGTCAAACTAATCAAAGTTGAACGTGCGTTGCACATTATTTTAAAATATTTTATAAGTGCTGTAAAAGTAATATTTGATACCAATTTATTGGAAGTATTTGATGAGTCTCAAACGAACTAAAGAAAATAAAATTTAGGATAAAATTTAAAAGAATAAAATTATACCCTTAAAACTTAACTTATATGGTTCAAAATTTTCGTGAGGATGAAATATTACAAGTGAACAACTTTTTTAGTAGTAAATTTGGTACATAAGAAATAGTTGTTAATACAAGAATCTAAACACCCAATAAAATTCTTAGATACTTGAATAGAAATAAATTCATCTATAATAATTCTAGATTCATGTAAATCAAGATTTATTGAGTTTAGATTAATGTGAAAGTTAATTAATTAAGAGTTAATAACACGAAATTAATATATAACAATGATTTTGTAGTATTTATTACATATTGAAAAAACGAAAAGTAAAGTATTATTGAAATAATTAAATTGTAGCATTGTTAAAATCTTCCAAAAAATGATTCTTACTTGATGTGATATTTAATATATTATAGATAACCAACTTTTTTAGCTTGTTCGTTTTTATTGGGGTTAAAATCGTCCAATTTTTTTATCACAAGAAAAAATTACCTTATACCCTCATCCTACCCTACCCCCAACACGTTCTACGTCATTCATCGCATTCTACCTTATCTCCCTTGTTCTCTCTACATATCCAAACTCTTTGGCTTTCTTGATGCGGTTGTTGCTCTACCTTTCAATATTCACCAATTCAACTTTCAGATCTAAGGAGAGTGTATTCAATTGAGGCTTTTAATATTTTTTAGGATTTAAAAAGTCTAGGGGTATTCAATATAGACTTCTGGAGGCTCTCTAAAAGTATTGGTGTATTCAATTGAAATTTAAATAAACTTTTAAAAAAACTTTAAAAGTCATAATGTATTCAATTAAAATCTTTTAGAAGTCTCTATAAGTCTAGGAGTATTTAAATTTTTATGACTTTTAGAGATTTTATAAAAGTTTTCATGATACTAACTTTTAAGCAAAAAATACTAAAATAAAATTTCAAAATTGGTCTCTCATTAATTACATATTTTGGGAGACTTTCACAAAAAAAAAAAAATAATAATAATAATAATAAAATAATATGTATTTTTTTTTTCAATATTTCTCTTTCCTTTTTCCTTTTACGAACATTAGATTTATGATTAAATTTTTTTTTCTATTGATTGTATTAGTTTTCATTATTTAATTATGGTCTTAATTTTTTTTCTTTTTAAAATATTTTTTTATTATGTGGTATGAGACCTGCGTATGCTACGGTGAATAGCAACGTTGGAGTGGTGTCCATGGGTGTCATACGAGTGTTGGTGATGAAGTTGATTCTGCCAATAATTATGGTTGGAATGTCAGCGCTGCAGGTGCTAATGGTTGTGTGGTTGTGCATTCACAATGTACAACTCCATGTGGGTGGTGGTGTGGTGGTAGCGCGATGCTAGTGGTTGTATGTGGTGGGGGTACGAGTGGAGGTAGAGACTCTCGTGGTGGTGGTAGAAGCATTTTGGGTTGCATGGTTGTGGTGAATTATAAATACAGCGTCACCAATTAATTTGATAATTTGTGATTGATAAATAAGTCGTGATCAATTAATTTTATAATTTGTGATCGATAAATAAGTTGTGACCTATGAACTTGTAAGATTCGTGAATAAATTTGCAATTGTGATCTAGATTTTATGTTTTTGTGATTGTAACGTTCTTCGATTTGTGACTAGTAGTATTATGATTATAAATTATATGTTTTTGTGACCTTAACTTACTTAATTACCCATTTAATCAATACCACCTTATTTTTGAAAGAAATCCACAAGTTTCTCAAATTTGAAAGTACAGCTTACAATTATGATAATTATGTTTTTTTTTCCTTTTCACAATTACTAAATTTTCTTTCATCCTATCTTTAGGCCGTTATGATCGACATGGGCTTATCTTTGAGAAGATGAGAAATTTAGCAAATTTGAAGTGTCTAATTAAAAAAAGGTTGGTTAAGAAATACAAATTAGCAGATTTGAAGAATTCAAAAAAATCTAATAATAATGAGAAAAAAAAAAAAAAAA